ATCAAAATGACAACTAAACCCTTAAAAGTTAAAAGAAAATACTTAAAAGCTAAATACTAAATTACTCTCATGATTAATCTAAAATATTTATCTAATTCCTACACAATCTCCATCATTCTCCCCTGGTTGAGAAAAATTCTCTTCCGGAAAGTCTTCAAAATAGAAGTACCCTACGAGAGCAAAACGAAGATGACAGAACACTTCATCTAGAATGAAAGAACCATCAATATCTTTCCATCGATCAAAATAAATGCAAGAATCTCCATCTATAGCAATATAAATCTGGTCACGTAGCATATTATCTATTTGCCCCGAAATATACAAGATGGAAGTGGAAAGATAAGAACTGGAGCTAATGCTGAAGAAGAAACAATTCTACCAGTAAAAACACCTGATAACAAAATAGGAAGTTCTGGAGTACCTCAATTAAGTAACATGTCCTCCAAATAAAAATTTGGACTAATACTAACATTTAATGAAAAATTAAGCAAATAAACATTAGATCCAAACTCAAGAATAGTAAAATAATTTTTATTAAATTTGAACAAAAGGCATTCAGTGGGACAAGACATCAATGACAAAGGAGTAACTATAACATCTTGGTGCTGAAAATAAAAAAATACAAACCCAATTGAACACTTGACAGTGGACAAAGAAATAAAGTTTACGCTCTCAAGTGGGGCAAAATCTAGAACAATGTCAACAATCTCAGGTGGAGAAGAATCTACAATAATGTCATCATGATTCGAAATAGTAGACATAGAATAATTGTCAACAAATTCTAAAATAGATAGCTCAATATGTTCAACATCTTACATAGAAACCAACTGAATGAATTTTTTCTCAAATTCAATGATTAGTGATGATTCAACTTTTGGCTCCAATGAGGTAGGAAATATGATAGGATCAAAAATAATCACATCACGAGTATCAATGTTCAAACAATTGAAAGTATGTTTTGAAGGATGGAAAGCATAAGGGCCCAACGCAACAGAAATATGGCTATCATTATGCGAGTGTCCAACATTAGGTGAAACTGGAGACTTATCCTTATTTTCTTTCATTTGTTGATTTGCAAGAATTTTATTCAAGTGAAAAAGTTGACTTGTTAATTCAGATAATTAGTTTTTCATCCCTCCACATTCTTCACGTAATTGCCCGAGTGAATGTTTAATATTGGCAACTCCAATTTCAAAGATCTCAATCTTTTTTTCTAGAGCAGTTTAGGCTTTTGAATGATCACTAATGACATTGAAGATTGATCCAGATTGACCTTGATGATGACTTTGAAAAAAATGACGTTGGTAAATGTTATGTGACCTAAGTGTCCCAGAGTAGTATTCTAGATAATCTTCACAATAAAATTTAGACTTACTATGGACTTTATGATAACTCCGAGAAACTCTAGGAGTGGAATAGGTATAGTGATGACGTTGTCGAGAACTGTGAACTTGAGACATTCTTGATGTTGGATAAGTATATGAATAGGCATCATAATGATCATATGAACTCATAATTGACTTTGAAAGATGAGAATAACATAAGAATGAGTTCAAGAATGCAATTGATAATTACAAGAAGTGAAAAACTTAAATAGAAAAAAATATGTTTTGAACCCTTTGTAAATTCTCTAATTTAAAAATATTAGTCTCAGATTCTATGGGAGTATACATACCATAATCAAGCTTTGTTGTGACGAAATTCTAAAATTCTGAAATTCTGAAATTTGTTGGGGAATGATTATGCAATTTATGAAACTTATAGGGTAATGTTTCTGTAATTTTTTGAAACTTATGGGGGTGATTTTGTAATTTTTTAGATCTGCTGGGATATTTCTACAATTCTGAAACTTATAGATGATATTTCTGTGATTTCTAGAACTTCTGGAGGTGATTTTACAGTTTTTGACAATAAATTTTCTTCTCCACGTCGTTGAAGCTGCCAAAGCTACGTTTCGTAAACCCTAGTTCTCTTGTTTTTGGTTTGCGCAAGGAGGGGGTTGGATGGATGGTTGTGGGTGATGATGTTGGTGGCGACGATGAACAGTATCACGGTGAACAGTGTTTTTTTTTTTTTTTTAACTAATCGAAGTTGGGCTCTGATACCAAATTGATGTAGATCGTATTAGTTCTAATACCAAATTGATGTATATCGTATTAAGGAAGAATTAGAGATAAAAAGGGGAAAAGAAGGGGCTGAGAAAAAAAGAAAAAAGGGATGAGGATAGAGAGAGAATTTGAGGAAGAAGGATTCAATATCAATAATCAATAATAATCAAAATATAATCTCACAATAAATATGTATTCCCTATATAAATAAGAAGTTCACAAATCCTGTATATATAAGGTGATCACAAATCTTAAAATAAATAAATAATTANAGAGAGAGAATTTGAGGAAGAAGGATTCAATATCAATAATCAATAATAATCAAAATCTAATCTCACAATAAATATGTATTTCCTATATAAATAAGAAGTTCACAAATCCTGTATATATAAGGTGATCACAAATCTTAAAATAAATAAATAATCANTACCTCGATTAAGTAACATGTCCTCCAAATAAAAATTTGGACTAATACTAACATTTAATGAAAAATTAAGCAAATAAACATTAGATCCAAACTCAAGAATAGTAAAATAATTTTTATTAAATTTGAACAAAAGGCATTCAGTGGGACAAGACATCAATGACAAAGGAGTAACTATAACATCTTGGTGCTGAAAATAAAAAAATACAGACCCAATTGAACACTTGACAGTGGACAAAGAAATAAAGTTTACGCTCTCAAGTGGGGCAGAATCTAGAACAATGTCAACAATCTCAGGTGGAGAAGAATCTACAATAATGTCATCATGATTCGAAATAGTAGACATAGAATAATTGTCAACAAATTCTAAAATAGATAGTTCAATATGTTCAACATCTTACATAGAAACCAACTGAATGAATTTTTTCTCAAATTCAATGATTAGTGATGATTCAACTTTTGGCTCCAATGAGGTAGGAAATATGATAGGATCAAAAATAATCACATCACGAGTATCAATGTTCAAACAATTGAAAGTATGTTTTGAAGGATGGAAAGCATAAGGGCCCAACGCAACAGAAATATGGCTATCATTATGCGAGTGTCCAACATTAGGTGAAACTGGAGACTTATCCTTATTTTCTTTCATTTGTTGATTTGCAAGAATTTTATTCAAGTGAAAAAGTTGACTTGTTAATTCAGATAATTAGTTTTTCATCCCTCCACATTCTTCACGTAATTGCCCGAGTGAATGTTTAATATTGGCAACTCCAATTTCAAAGATCTCAATCTTTTTTTCTAGAGCAGTTTAGGCTTTTGAATGATCACTAATGACATTGAAGATTGATCCAGATTGACCTTGATGATGACTTTGAAAAAAATGACGTTGGTAAATGTTATGTGACCTAAGTGTCCCAGAGTAGTATTCTAGATAATCTTCACAATAAAATTTAGACTTACTATGGACTTTATGATAACTTCGAGAAACTCTAGGAGTGGAATAGGTATAGTGATGACGTTGTCGAGAACTGTGAACTTGAGACATTCTTGATGTTGGATAAGTATATGAATAGGCATCATAATGATCATATGAACTCATAATTGACTTTGAAAGATGAGAATAACATAAGAATGAGTTCAAGAATGCAATTGATAATTACAAGAAGTGAAAAACTTAAATAGAAAAAAATATGTTTTGAACCCTTTGTAAATTCTCTAATTTTCTAATGAATAAAAATATTAGTCTCAGATTCTATGGGAGTATACATACCATAATCAAGCTTTGTTGTGACGAAATTCTAAAATTCTGAAATTCTGAAATTTGTTGGGGGATGATTATGCAATTTATGAAACTTATAGGGTAATGTTTTTGTAATTTTTTGAAACTTATGGGGGTGATTTTGTAATTTTTTAGATCTGCTGGGATATTTCTACAATTCTGAAACTTATAGATGATATTTCTGTGATTTCTAGAACTTCTGGAGGTGATTTTACAGTTTTTGACAATAAATTTTCTTCTCCACGTCGTTGAAGCTGCCAAAGCTACGTTTCGTAAACCCTAGTTCTCTTGTTTTTGGTTTGCGCAAGGAGGGGGTTGGATGGATGGTTGTGGGTGATGATGTTGGTGGCGACGATGAACAGTATCACGGTGAACAGTGTTTTTTTTTTTTTTTTAACTAATCGAAGTTGGGCTCTGATACCAAATTGATGTAGATCGTATTAGTTCTAATACCAAATTGATGTATATCGTATTAAGGAAGAATTAGAGATAAAAAGGGGAAAAGAAGGGGCTGAGAAAAAAAGAAAAAAGAGATGAGGATAGAGAGAGAATTTGAGGAAGAAGGATTCAATATCAATAATCAATAATAATCAAAATCTAATCTCACAATAAATATGTATTTCCTATATAAATAAGAAGTTCACAAATCCTGTATATATAAGGTGATCACAAATCTTAAAATAAATAAATAATCAAAATGACAACTAAACCCTTAAAAGTTTGAAGAAAATACTTAAAAGATAAATACTAAATTCAATTCAAGTTTTGAGCGATTGGGGAATTTGTTCCCAAGTGTTAAAAGGGTCCAAAAATAACACTTTGAACCCCCAACAGCAATAGATGGTTATTGGTTATATTAGGGAAGAATATTTGAAATTCTACAAGACAAACCAAAAAGTCCAATTTAACCCCAACTAACAATTAGAGGGTCACATTAAAGGTAGGCTTAGTAATTTGCCAACCAACCCCTTGCCAATAAATAGAAGCCATCTAATTTCATTATAACTCACCAATCTATAATCTCTCACTCTCAAATTCCAATTGCTCTCAATTACTGATCTCACCCCAATAAATTCTGACTTTGATAATGAGAATAATGGGGTTTAAAGCAACTAGTTCCAAAAATACAAGCAAAGGAATTTGGTTTTGATCCTGAAAGAATCTGTCTCTTGTGGATGAATCCTTTGCTTTACTCGTAGGGAACCATCCAAAGAATTGGTAACAGGCACTGCAGAACAAACATCTAGACAGAAATTGAACAATTTCATTCCAACAAAAATATGTAACTGAAAACTTTGCACTGTGCAAATAGCACAAGGGAGAATTGCACAATATAAATTCTCAGACATTCCTAGTTTAGGGCATTTCAGGAATATAGCATACCATATAATAGTTTTGAAAGCTTCCCCCGCGTTGAAAAAAGCGAGCAACTGCAAATGCAATATCTTCAGCAGGCCTATGTGGCACTCTTCCACCCCAACTCGTATACCTTCAGCGAGAAAAGGACAAAAGAAAAAGAAAAAAATGATAATTAGAAACTTCTGATGTACACGTAGATTCCATGTATCCCTCATAAGTTGCACCTATACCCCTTTAACATGTTCTGAAACCATTAAATAGTTTTGCATGGGGGAAAAAAGGAATGCTTTTATTGAGAAACACATGCTAGGAAATGGATTCCCAAACTATACTGGAGATATTTCCCCACTGTAGGATAGGGAAAGCTGGGGGTTTCTTTTCAGAGGAATGAATTTTTTATAGTTAGAATATTGTTCTACAGAGACAATAAGTCTTCTCCTAATCACAACAATGAAAGCATGGAAGTGACTATTCTAACTACGTTCATGTTAGCTCAAGTGAAAATTCTGCAATAGCTACACATTAGAGCCCACGGTAATCAGTACGAAGAAAAAATGGGCAACAATACAAGAATAGACCAAACAGAGATCTGACAAAACAAATACAGTAAACAACTGCAGTTAAACAATAGGCTGACTGCTGAGAAAAAATGAAATGGTATGAAACATTGCATATGATGTTTTCTAGATGAGTAAAAAAATCCCTAGATGTATTCTGATAAGTAAAAAATTTCAGCAGAGAACTTCTTCCTCCGAGGAATATTATGTGTCTCAATGGTTCTCTGAAAGTCCTCTAAAAGATTTCCCCAGTGAGTTTCCTTGCATGTTAAAGATGCATTCCTCTGTTGAATCTAAAGGAGCTTCAAGTTAATAGGGTCTCTCTCCAGACAGGTGTCAGAAACCACAAATCAACTACTAAGTTCTGTTGCTTGTCTCTCATATATTGCTTAATTTCTGAACCTTTTTTCTGGTTCCAATCTTCTAGGTAATTATGTGTCGCAGCTCAAAACTCTCTAGATAGAATATCAATAAAATCTACAGAAGTCAAATCATGAATCATCAATGAACCATCCTACCATCCATCCCAATTTTCGGTCCAAACTGCCGGTTTCTTGTTGGAATTGGGCCTGAAATCATCGCAATAGTATCCATTGCAGGAATCTATCTGTGAGAATATAATATAGAAAACAATAAGAAATCTAAGATTCTGAATGTCGCAGCCTTATATCAAAAGTACAATTCACTTTTATAATCAAACCATCAAATTAGGTATCTTTAGATCAACATTCGCTTTAGTCAAAAGAGCAGTAAACTTAAAATGTCAAAGGACATAAAAACTTACGATGAATTCTGGTGCATCAACTTGCTTGCACATAACCCATGGAACACCAGCACCTAGTCCAAGAGCCATGGTAGCTGCCCATTTGACATAGTCCTTCCCATGATGACCAAAAGAGCTTTCAACATTTCCATATTCATTCTCAATCTGGTAAATATTCACTGCAGTTATGGTTTACATTTTTACAAAGAGTATTACTTCAAAGGAACGACAGCCAAATAGTGTGTGCCAATGACAGATCCACATTAAAAGACTTGGACTTCAAGCAGTGATAACATAACTTGATGAATAAAAATTATTTTTTGGAGGAAATGAATGCTGCCAAGAGAAAGCGAAGAAAAGAGAGGAAGGCAGGAGAAGAGAGGGAGGGAGGTAGAAACCCAAGCTAAGTTAACGAAGTTAAATTATAATAACAAGTCACCCCTGGAACACAACTGAAATAAAGAACTGATTTAATCACATCAAAAACATTTCCCCATTCTAGGAAGATATGAAATAGGTTTTATAGCATAACGTAATCAAATTGCATACAAATAAACTTTTTCATAAACACATTTAAGTTAAAAAAATTCCTACAACCTGCAACATAATGATTGGACCACCTTGCCAACAGAAGAGTGATTCCTCTCGCATCAGATCCACTATCTTCTTAACAAACCGCTCCATCTCATCCTGAGAGGAAAAAAGAAAGAGAATAGAGAGCAATAAGGAGAAAGACGTGGGGTCAAATTGTCAATCATAATTGCCACCAGAAAGTTATAACAATCTGTATTGTACTTCTAGTATGAGTTAACCAGGATCTACATATTCCGTATAGGACAAAATCAAGACAATCACAATAACTTTTTGTTATATTGAACATAGACCAACTAAAGGGAAAGGTAGCATATGAATATGCGATATTTTTGCGAAGAAACAGAAGGAGAGCACCTTTCCCACTCCCAAATTCCCCCTAAAATTTTTGTAGCCTGCATGACAAAATTACCCTTCTACCATATATCGAGATCCCCTCCTCCTTTCCATGGTACCACCACCATCCCCACCCAAGACAACCATCACAAACTTAAAGAGCATGCACCAGCACGAGAGAGAGAGAGAGACCACCGCCAAACCCCAAAAAAAAAAAAAAAACCACCATAGATGAGAGATCAAAACTCCTGAACAGTATTAAACCACAAAATATCAATTAAAACAATCAGAAAATCCCACAGAAGCTTCAAAGTTCAAGCCTTTACTCACAAATCAAACCCGTTTTCCCTCAAAACTTAATCTACTTTCTAAAAATTCAAACTGGTGGGGATAGAAAAGGAATTGGATGAGGATTGAATTGAAGAACATGATGTTGAAATTTATTTTGATATTTTTTATTGTTTCCTATTTATTGGAATTTATTTCTTAATTTAGGATTTATCTCCTATTGGGTAGTGGAGTTATATTAGGAAACTTTCTCCCTGATTTCTTCTTCTCGTCAATTCTTCTCCTTTTCTTCTTAATCTTCTCTTCTGTCCCTAATCCCCATTCCCAGTCTTCACCCATTAGTACAGATCTACTTTGATCTACATCAAGTGGTATCAAAGCTACTTTGATCTACATCCGAAATATTAAGAGGAACAAGAAACATAAGCCAAAGAAGTGACAATAATGTCCCAATGATCAAAATAATTAAGAATAAACTCATAAAGGGAAAGAAATTGGGTAATCTCAGGAGAAATCTAATCCATGGCCTGATGCCTAGGTAATCAAAAGCAGATTCCGCAGTCAGATAGAGTGACTTGGAAGATGGGTCACCAATTTGTTCAATATCTTGCATAGGTGTAGGCTCAACAGCATTTTATTCAAGTTCCACAATAAGTGACAATTCTTTCTATAGGTACAAACTCATTCAAGTAGTCTTCATGCTCATAGATGGAACCATTTGACAGAGAACTAGAAAAATTAGCTTCCATTACCTCGGTGATATGTAGGTTGGGATTGTGGTCATCATTAGGAATACAACGGTCCTTAACAGTTGATTGTATAACTCCACAGGGGCTCTCATAAGAAACTATCCATAGGGTGTGCCTCTTTAGCTTGAGAAGCCATTTGCACACAATGTGATGGCCTACAAGATTGTTCAATCTTTAAAGCATAATAAAACTATGCTAAAGTCAATCATCCAAGGTCAACACCAAAGTCCCATTCTTCTCGGAGATACTAGCAATTTGTCTAAGACTGAGCCATTGGTCTTACATTTCATCTCTGTAGGAAGTGGACAGATATTTCTCTATCACCTTATGCCTCAATTTTAGCACAAGTGATAGACAGTTCTCCAAAACGGTCTAAATTCTTTTGAATGCTTACATGGCAAAACCCTGCAACATCCATTTAGGATAACGAATGCAATGAAAATTTGACATGCATTGCCAATCAAAATATTTGTATTTGCTTATAAATGGCAGAACCTCCGACAAATTTTTGATTTTCTATTTTATCCTTAATTATTATTATAAAGTCAATTATACCCACATATTTACTTTCATCCAATTTTTAATTTCTATACCTATTTGACTTCTAAATTCTTTTGGATTCTTTTACTAATAGTAGTTGACTTCTAAATTCGTTGGACTTATTTATAAGTAGTTGTTGAAATATAAATACGTAAGTTATACTCTTGGAGTAGATGGTTGTTAAGTTATAAATACTTAAACTTTTGGAGTAGATGGTTGTTTAACATAGTATCAGAGGAGATCTAGTGCTCGCATTTCGCCGCTACCCTAATTATTAAAAAGATTTTCATGCGCTAGGCCTAAAATCTAATATGTAAGTGAGGGGTGAAGAATAAATACTTAAGTTACACACTTGCCAACAGCTTTTGTAGTAGCTAAATGTTTAATAGTAGTACACTTAAATACAATTTTCTACATCTATGTCTATCTTCTTCCCTCAAATTCTATTATAATATACATGTAATTGTTAGATTACATTATACTGTAAAATATAGTCATATTTAAATTTTTGGTATGCAACATCATAATATCATAATAAAAATAATAATAATAATAATAAATCAAAAAAATCTCTTTGAAAAAAAAAATGTAATAAATCTATAATATAATTAGATATACAAATCCTCAAGAATGGCAACCTTACAATGGACATCCATTATAACCAAAAGAGGAAATGTCTGAAGGGGCCGGAGAGATACCAAAAAAATGACAAATTAGGTACTCAAATAGTGATAGAATAGATCAATAATTAGATTTAGTAATAATTAAAATAAGAATTAATTATTTGACACATAATCTATTATTCAATTTTGTTAGAGTTATAGCAGTTTAGTTTATTAGAGTTTTCCTTTTTACCTTTTTTTT